TTTCTATGGCGTGTGTTTACCGCCATATTGCCAGGTGTGTCTTTACCACCATATTAAATTTTATCAACCATAAGTTTCTACTTTTTGTTTTTAGACATAACCTGGGATTCGAACCCGCACTATCGCCCTGCATGCATCCCCCGATACACTTCGCATACATACTAATTCTTCCAAGTTGCTTCACGTTATGATCTTGCGTTTGAAAGCCCTATTTGAATATTACGGCCAGCTGTATGTGGCCTGCTGTGTTTGATGGTGCGGTACGGAACAGATACGGGATAGCGCCAGGCGTGACACAAACAAACACACAAACAAACAAACACCAAATTAAAGCTGTGTGGACCCTGGCTAGCGCCAGACGTTACTGAAGTAACGTCTTCTGCATAGCTACGGGAATAAAGGATACCAATAGACACCACTTATACTTGGCTGAAATAAATAATTTAATTGTTCATCGTTGGTTCGAGTCGCGAGCGGCTCTAGATCGTCGTTAGAGGTGTTGGGGCCAGAAACCATGAACTTGGTTTGGGTGGGGGGGGGGGGCACACGCACATACACACACACACACACACACACACACACACACACATGCACGCACACACACACACACACACACACACACACACACACACACACACATACACACACACCCACACACACACACATTCCTTCCTTCTTCCACTGTCATGACTGGCTATGTGGCCCCATACGGGGCAGACCAGGAGACGTGTTGTCCACCGGGCGGGGAACGCCATACTCAGCGCGCGCGGGCCGCTCGAACAGCGTTACACTTGTGCGTCGCAATATCCTGTGGCCGACGAAAACTGCGCGCACAAGTGCCATAAATGAGGGGCTTCGCCACAGGGTCCATGCGGGACTGGACAATAGCGTCGACAGCGTCACGGCAGGTGACCCGCCATCCCTATCGATCTTGGACGATGTCACCAAGCTGCTCCAGAGGAACGCCAACACACACACACACACACACACACAGACACACAGACACACACAGACACACACACACACACACACATACTTTGTACCATGTATATGCCCGTCACAAGAAAAGCACGCAAAGTTGTGGAAGTCAGGTCTCGCTGGACCAACCAGAATGGAGCTGCTACGGGCCTGAGCACGCAGCTTTCCCCATGTTGCAGAAGTCAATGCAGTGCTGCAAGTGGCAGGCAATCCTACGTGAAAAATTGGCACATACACCTCCATATTAATAATTCCAACGAGAGAGCTCAGTTGAAAGCTCAGGGCCCTCACTATGCTTTTTTGCCTAGGTTATCATGACTATGCGATAGCAATAAACAACAGTTTTATTCGGCTGAAATAAAGGATACCAACAGACCCCACTTGTACTTGGCTGAAATAAATTGTTCATCGTTGGTATTGCATTTAGTTTTTCATTTCGATATTGCATGAATAAAGAGCGCTTGGGCTTGAAGGCTAGAGAGGGCTTGACCGCCCAGGAGCCCTCGCTATGCTTAATATTTGCCTTGGTCATCATGTGTGTTGTTCGAACTGATAGAAACGTCTTTGCAATACAAAAACATGTGCATGACAATCAAAACTTTAGTTCATAAACGCACATCGATACAGAGCTCAAAACTCAAACTCTCAGACAGGTACATTCTACCAAGTAAAAGTAAATATAATAATAGATTACGCTATGGTACTAGTGACTTCAATTTTCAAGCCCTGTTTCAACATGTGGCCAGCAGTCTTTGCCAGAATGGTACGGAACATCAACGGAATAGGGCCAGGCTGGTGTGTACATGATGATGGCCCTACCGACCGCATACCGAAAAAGTTCGAGCATGAGAGCATGTAATTTATCCTGCCGAATGGATGCCTGTTCAGCGGTCTCTAGCTGTCGACGCATCTTGTCGGTGGGTCTCCAAACGACGGGATATATTTGCTCCGTCGTTTCTTGCTGTTGGCATAGCCTTTCGCAAGCACGGCGACTCTCGAGGCGGCGGGACCTCTCTTCTCCCTTCTTCTACCCTCCGTGTAGGCACTACTGCCGACGCCGTCTGCTCAGAGCTTCAACACTGTCACCCCTGTCATTTTGCTCTTCCTCATAGTCCTCTTCTAATGATCTCAGCATTCTATTTATACAACAACTACGCCCATTAAAACACTGCAATCTACCTGATCCTTACATTCCCGGCCCATCAGCACCACCCCCCTAAACTTTCGAACGATAGCACGTCACTTTCTATGGTCTTTTGAAATCAAACTGCGGCCATTACAATAATGCGATCTAAACCATACCTAAGAATGGGTTTGCTCCCCACACTGGAGCTCGCGGCTATTCCGCCGACTTGACGCTTGACGGACTCACGACTGCCATCCAGAGTCGCAACCATTCTTTCTAAACCATACCGCTAATTATTTTAGTTAGCTATCCACTTACCGGTATACCCCTTACCGAAATTGTATTCTTTAACGCAATATTCTTCTTTCTTTTTCTTCTACTCCGTTCCATCAGCACCTGGCCGATGGCAGGAGATTGGCATCCACTGGGCTAGCATGCAGCAGCCAAAGCTGGGGCCTTTTTTTACTCCGCTAAACCCCCTTCTTAAAACGAAACTGACTGCGCACCACATATTCGAATTACGGTACGGGAAACATACGGGATACCACACCAACCATGGCGTGCCACGTGAAACACCCTACCAGGCATCGTGACACACACCAAATTAAAGCGGTGTGGATCCTGGCTAGCGCCAGACGCTACTAAAGTACTAATAGCGTCTTTTGCATAGCTACGGGAATAAACTCAGATCCCAAGCATTGCAGCTCTGCTAACAGAATAATTCAGGTTACTCCCCCTCCATTCCTCTAGTGCTTATTTTCCTGAAAAAAATTTCATCCCTGGCACCAGAAATGCTGCCACCAAGAGTACATGAACCAGAGTGTGCAGCCCAAGGAGAATCATCCCACGGCAAAGTTTATTGTTTAGGGCATAGACTGACAGTAACAGGCTCACTTTTGCTGCATCTCACACCGCTTCACACGGTCATCTACTGTATCACCATGGTAATTTCTGTTGCACATTGCTGCTTGTTTAACAAAAGGCAGAAAACACACCGAATTTCCAGGAATTACCATGGTGATACGGTACTTTAGCTTGAACCTATTGTATGACAGGTTTTCTATGATTCATAATGACCCAGGGAGTAACTAAACCGGTATCGAATTCCAGTTAGCGACGCAATTCTTCTGAGGTGTAAAGTGACTTCAGGAATATGTTGCAGAAAACTGCGATGCATGCTGATTATTTACTGTGCCCTATTGCGCACAATATACCAGGTGTGTTACTCAAGGATGAAGTAGATGCACACACGTGCCGTGCATCACGGCACAGGTTAGGTTTGCTACTAGCTGCTACAGTGTACTTGTGGTCCGAACTTGAACTCTACTCAACTCTGCATACGCAAAGAGTGCTGGTGCCGAAATGAACCAGAAGGGTGCTGAGTGGGACGCAACAACACTGACTCTGTATACCCATGTACACAGATATGGTAGGGTATTCAGTACCTGCTTTAAGATTTCACACCAACTGGGTACACGTCTACCTGGCACAACTCCTGCAACACTGGGCCAGAGCCAGGTACGTTCAAGTGCGGCTACTATACGTCAGGGAGTCGTAAAATTACTTTCCACTTCCTGATGTACATGATTGTACATGTACATATATGAACGTACTCGCACTGGGCACTCTGGCCGCACGCATCTGCATGCGCCTGCAGCCTGTCATATCACTGACTTATCACTATCAGTGGCGGTATACCCCTCGAAGTATAACAAAATAAAGTACTCGACAGGACTCCCAACCGGGTCGTAGGTAACCCAGTGTTCTTTTCCAAAAGGTCAAAGTACTCACCAACAGGGCCGCTGACCCGGCTCTGGAGCAGACACTGGTAATCTAGGTCCAAGTTTGCACGATTTTGTTCCGACGCTTCATGTGCTTTCATAGCCAAGGTTTCTCACTTTCTTCGCAAGCTCTTTTAGTCTTGAGAGTTGACAACTGCTTATGGTTGTGTTGGCTGAAATATGTCCGCTTATCCGAGTGACAACCGTCCAACCCCATTTTACTGGTAAGTAGTTAGCGAGTGGCTTTGATGGGGCCATACTAGAGGGAAAGTTACGCGGCATATTTGTGCTTCCTTTTTGAAAACACGTTCTCGCTCGAAGGGTTTCTAAACTTTATCCCTGCGCTCATTGATGGAGTTCATCGATGGAGTTGCCCGCGGCACCCTACAGAAGAACAATGCTGCCAAGTTTTTTTATGAAAAATTGTCAAACATTACATTTTCAAATTGCTATTGAAGTTTGGGTAGGGCCAGGTTCCACTGCGGCTCCGCAGCTCCGCTGCTCTACGGCACTTGGCTGCATGCAGCAGAGCGGCGCGGTTCCGGTGACACTCGCTATTCGCGGTACCGCGATCGTGCTCGACGTTTTTTGATGACATTTTGCCTGCCTGCGCGCGTACGCGCGCGCAATCCCCAAAAGTCCTCGTGTTCTGGCCTGTGCAACGAAATAAAATTTTGAAATTTAAAATTCCCCCGTATAAAACAATTAAGAGCGGGAAACAATGCAAGCCGCGACCGCGGCTTGCATTTTTTGATCAAGCATCAAAGCAAAAGCTGGCGATGAGCCGCGGCCTCGCTGCACCAGCTCGCAATGATGACGTTTCATGCCGCGGATGATGTGCGGCGGAGCGGCAGTGGAACCCAGCCCTTAGGCAGAGGAAAATTGTCATGAATTTTTTATGCAGCATAGATGCAGAGCTGCACACTCTGGCTTATGGACTCTCGCCTACAGTGTAGTCGTACTGCTAGTGTACTAGCATTAGACTATCACATGCAGTATACTGTCTGGCAGCAGGATTCAGGAGGGACTATTCGGACTGATAGAAGACACGAAAAACGAGAACATAATTATGGCGAGAAAGTACATTACTGGCTAAGAATTGCCCTAGGACTTACCGCTTCTCAGTGCTCCATACCAGGAAGTAGTACAATACCTACTCCCTGCTCCATACGAGTGTTTTCTCCTCATTCTCTGCATCCTTTTTTTCCCCAGGAGTCTCGTCCATTTTGCGGCTCAAACGCTTGAGCTCCGGATAGCGGAAAATAGCTCGTCGTCCATTATTAGCGGCGCTAATAACAGTTAGTACCAGGTCTGAAGTGTCGTAGTCTAGCAACTATGATTTTTTTCTAGGAGGGTAAGGGTTGCAAACCCAAGGAGACCTGAAGGAGCTTCGTCTTTCAAACAATTGCCCTAAAAAATGGAAGAGGAAACGAGTGAGCGAGCTGGTCTGAGCGCGCTACTTTTCAAAAAACAGAAGCAGAAATGAGTGAAAGCCATCAAAGTCAAAGCATTCTGGCCAACGCGTTTGTGTAGGTGACGCGCGCGAGCGCGCTAGTCGCAGAAAACGCTCGTGGGCCAGAGTTAGCGCTCTGTCCGTGCTGTTTGCCGCACGCGGCAGCTGGGTAGGTCACGTGATCCGAGCTGACAAATAAGGTCCTATGATGAGCCACAAGCATTGTGAATCGGCCTTTAGCATGTTAGCCTTTCGCCTGCTTTGGTCCCATTATTAAACTCGTATACTGAGCCAATGATACAATTTAACCCTTTGCATGCTGAGCCCCTTTTCTCCAATCCACTGGCCGTACAGCGCACTGACTCTCTTGGTGGAGTATGCACTCACAGCTCCGAACGAAATTTATTCTGATTTTACTCAACCTTGATGGATTTTCATCGTCCTGGGATCGTTGGAAAGATCAGGACCAAGCGAATCCATCCTGGCAGCTCTCAGCTCCATAGACACATCAGGGCCACATCCAGGTCCTCTCCGAATTACTCCACCGTGCCTCGGAACGGCACAACAACTCAATTTCACATTCTTGTTCGGCTTCTTGCCCAAATTCAACAGATTTTCACAATTCAAACTGCGCTGCAAAGCTCAGATCCAAGCGCTTCATTTGATGTCCATCACGCATGCGCCGTGCCAAAAGGGAAATCCCCTGGCACGCTCTGCAACAAAAAGAAGTTATGAACAAAAAAATTCGCGTTCACTCTGGGCCGTGATTTCCGTGTTCGTCTTGTCGCCGCTCAATTAATTCTTATCCTATCGCGAAGAACTTTATACCCCCGGAAAGATGAGGTGAAGATCTTTCCAACGGTGTATTGATTGTCGCGATGCGTTTATGTTTGACGAAGTTACGAAAGTTTGTACACTGGTCTATGCACTGCGATACAGCGCGCGTTTACTCTGGGCCGTGATTTCCGTGTTCATCTTGTCGCCGCTCAATGAATTCGTATCCTATCGCGAAGAACTTTATACCCCCGGAAAGATGAGGTGAAGATCTTTCCAACGGTGTATTGATTGTCGCGATGCGTTTATGTTTGACGAAGTTACGAAAGTTTGTACACTGGTCTATGCACTGCGATACAGCGCGCGTTCACTCTGGGCCGTGATTTCCGTGTTCATCTTGTCGCCGCTCAATGAATTCTTATTCGATCGCGAAGAACTTTATATCCCCGGAAAGATGAGGTGAAGATCTTTCCAACGGTGTATTGATTGTCGCGATGCGTTTATGTTTGACGAAGTTACGAAAGTTTACACTGGTCTATGCACTGCGATACAGTGCGCGAACTTTTTGCGAGTTAACTCGTACGTAGTGGATCAGGTCATGCATAAAGTGCGAGTTAACTCGTACTCAGCACGCAAAGGGTTAATTAAAGGGGAAGTATACCCTTAAATCAAATTTTCACCAGTTGTAGTCTTCTGGGTGCTGAGTCGAATGGTCTTGGTCCGAGGAAGCTGAGACGCTCCCTTCCTACTTGAATCCCAATCGAACTCGCGCACTTCCACCGAAACTGGGTGACTGCGCCCTACTAGATGGGGATTTGTATGCAAAATGTCACTAAAAGCGCCATTTCGTTCTTATAAAAGCACGGATGACCGCGATTGGCCCATATGTTGTAGTCTTTTGGACGCTGAGTCGACTGGTTTTGGTCCGAAAAGGGCGATGTAGCGTTCTCCTATATTCCCATCGAACATGGCTTGAACAAGCGGTCACGTGCTCCTGGGTGCCCCAGATCACCTGGTCACCGACGCCAGCAGGCGACAAATTTCACACCAAGGTTCAACTCGAGTTCAACTCGAGTGACAGGAGTACACCCCAAAAAAGGTCAAACAGGCTAGTAAGTTGTACCCTGCAGGCACGGTGACCAGGTGACTGGTGTACGCAGGAGCACGTGACCGCTTGTTCAACCATGTTCGATTGGGAATAAAGGAGGAACGCTACATCGCAGCCTTTTCGGACCAAACCAGTCGACTCAGCGTCCAAAAGACTACAACATATGGGCCAATCGCGGTCATCCGTGCTTTTATAAGAACGAAATGGCGCTTTTAGTGACATTTTGCATACAAATCCCCATCTAGTAGGGCGCAG